CAGATTTTGATCTTTAATGGCCTTAAACTGACTATAATTTTAAGATTGTTGAGTAATCATGACATTTAGATAGTATTCTTGTTGCTTACTACATTTCTGTTTTATCAATGCATCATTTTACTAAATAATCTTAGTTCAATGTGTCACTAAAATTCTACTATGAGTTTCTTTTTCTTAAGAGTGTATAACAAAGATTAAGATTGTTTACATATATATTTTTATTTCAAAATATTAAATGCATTTTCAAACAAATATTGTGACAGTCTAATCAAAGATTTCTGTGTAGTTATTCAAAGCAATGCAAACGTTTTCACAGACAAAAACATTTGCATGTTTTTCTTTGGCATTTCTAAAAAGAAACTGTTTTTTTCTTCACTATTCTTAAGTTTCTAAGTAGTAAAATTTGACCTCAGTATTGAGAAATTATTTCCTAAATAGTCACGTATGGAAGAGGAATCTAAGCAATACGAATGTATTGAATAAAAAAAGAATATTTCACTTTTTACTTTCAAAATAATGTCATAAGTTGAGTTCATGATTATAATTATAAACAATATTTAATTACACTGTACTTAATTTCAGTTCAGGTTAAATATATATGTTAGAAACTCTTATATTTACAAAAAGCATAGATCGATATTAAGATTTTTAAGTTTTAGATTAATAGAAAATAACAAAGGTTAACTTACCACCCATATTTTCATTAAAAAGAAGACAGTGGTAAAAACCTTTACGAGAACTCTCTGATTTGTAGTCAGCTTCTACTGTAACTGGATTTGAACTCTGAACTTTTAAAGCTACATATTCACTTTTTACTTTACAGTTGAAAAGAAAAGTGCTGTTCACTTTCACATATGCATCACAGGGATAAACTGTAACTTCTGCTCCCACAAGCAATTCACCATCAAATGCTGGGGTCGCAATGCAGTTACACGGTTTATTTATCTTTTCAAAGTCAATATAAACTTGTGTTCCATTTTTTGTTGTTCCATCACAGCTAGTTACCTTTGGATTGGGCTCTTGAAAAAGAGAAATGATGGATTTTAAAATAATATTGCACGTACGTATGTGTTTTCATAAATTGTTTTGGGTATAAATACCAGTTGTATTTTTTTTTTTTTTGATAAATTGAACTAGACAATTCAAATTAAAGATGATAAATAAAAAGTTAATGTTAAATTTTAACTCTGTAATTTGGCTAAAGCATGCTCTTAATAATCTTTGATATATGTGATAAATCTCTTTTGGGGAAAATATGGAAAACCGACTTCTTTGGGCTTGAGAATAGAGTTCCTTATGTATCAAATATTATTAACTTAAAAAATACATACTGTAGATTCCTAATAAAACGCAAGGAATTAATTTCCACGTAAATTCGCGAGAAGCTTCACTCGCAAAAATTTTACTCGCTTTTATTTTTATAGTGCTGAAATATATGGAAAATCCATTGAGCAACTGTCCATTCTGTTAATACATGTAATAATTCTCGAGATTTGACGTTTAAAAGCTAGTTGGCGATAAAAAGTACCCGTGAGAAATAAGAAATCTACAGTTATATCCATATATATCTTTATATTATATAAATGTAATTACTCACTGTTCTGTGGACAGCTTCCTAAAAATAAGATTTAAGAAAGGAATTCTTTTAACTATACTTTCATTAAACTTAAATTTCATATTTGATTCATTCTTATATTTCTAAGTACATACTTGGAATATTCTTGTGACACACAGTGCTTGTCATAATATGGCATCATCCAATACACATTTTGGGATAGTAAGTACCCAAATAATTACATATGAAGCCATCAACATCTTTGTAATAAAGTTATAATTAGCAAGGGAATGACAAACTGTTATTTGTTTTTGACCAAATATACAAGTATAATCAAAGCTGTTGTAAAAAAATGACATTTTATTCTTCCGGATTCACTATTTTTTAGATTGCCAAAATTACAAAGAAACAACAAAAACTCTACATGTATAACACAATCTTTCAACCACAAGCAACAGAAACAAGAGATAATAACAGACTCTACATTCTGAAAGTTGTTAAAAATAAACAGGGGAATGTCAGCAATGAATTATTACATGATGTATGTCACTGTATTGTATCAATATTGTCGACATTGTTGTTATGTGTAATACATTGTTCCTTATTCAACTAGCATGCTACTGTAACGTGTTAAGCTATTTCGATAAAATATCTCAGTATTTTATTCTATTTTTTAGCTTACATCAATCACATCGTCTTTATCGCCAGTGTTTTGTTGATAATATCAATAAAGAAATAAAAACAATGTAGACGGTGTAAACATTATCTGGTGTTAACACTGTCTACATTGCGATGTCGACAATATCGATTTGATAAAAAGAAATAGACATGATTGGATTAACTCACCGAAAACTTTTAAGAAAAGCCCGATAGTAATAAAAACGCTTAGATACTCCATTTCATCTTGGGGCAACCAGGAAGAAAACAAATCATTAACGACAGCAGGATATATTTCAGATCGGTTTTTAAAAGTTAAAAATAGGTAGGTTATTTTCAAACTGAGCAACCATGCGGAAAACTGAAGTGTGAAATCCGATTTGTACAAAATGCAGACATTTCAAGAGACGAGAAGTCGTAGATCGGCGAATTTTCATCTCTTTAAATATTTGCAGTATAGAAAAGGTGACATTTTCCATCAAATAAAAAATGTATTGAAGGGTACACAATTATACGGTTTTGGTCTAAAGATGAAATGATGAGTACATGTGTAACACAAAGCAGATTTAAATTATACACACCTCAATCAATAAGGAATGCATGTAGACAATGGGCGAATTTAACGACAAACAGACAATAAGTTGTTATAATAAAATGTATAAATCTTGCTAATATATGAAGTATAAACTTAAAATGAAATATGTTAGAAACAAAATGGTATTTGTAGTCAGTAACTTTTAAAAAAAAAACTATATGTATTCATTTAATGTTTAAAAAGCCTTAAAAATGGGCGAAAATACTTTAAGCACAGAATTCTTGTGAAGAAAAGACTGTAATAGTAAGGACACGACTTGGAATTAAGATTAATTGTTTTGTGTATGACAATTAAATAAAATTCCTAAAAAATTAAGAGGGAGAGAGAGGGTTTGTTAAAATGCTGAAAACTGAGAGAAACTAACTGACGATCATACTTTTCATCTTTCTGATTTTTAAGAAAATTCGTTCCATGAGTTAAAAAATGATATTTTTTAATTTGATAAACACCGCTTCTAAAATGCGCTTTTGCACATTGTATTGAAATTCTTCTTCTACAAATGTTTAAAATTTGTTATATGTAAGATTTAGAGTTTTGTAAAAGAGTTGCATACAGTTCTCAGCATTGTTTCTTTGTTGCTTATTAAGTTTAAAAATTCAGCATAGATCAATTTCATTATCGGTATTACAAGTTGGAGTGAGATTTCGAAGAATTAAAAACATGTTAAATTTGAGTATACAATTACGTTGTTTTTCCAGAAGTAAAATTGAAGCCAACTTCTTTTAGGCATTGGAAGGCATTGTTGTCCCATTACTGTACCGTTCTCAGTATCCCCTACATGTTTAGAAGAATGGTAAGGAGGGTTATCTGGTAAACCATTTTGGTTTGCGTTATTTCTATATTTTGCACTATTTCCTGCATTTAAAGGTTTCTCTCTACGTATTTACCTTGTCCTAAAAAGGACAAATTTCATCCTGATACAGTGTGCTCTAATAAATTATAAATCTATGTAAATAGATGTAAGGAAATAAAATTACAAGTACATATTTACCTAAAATGCGGTAAAAACAAGAATGATAAGAAAAAGGAGAAGCAGGCCACCTGGAAACTATGCATGCATGAGCAATCTGTACCTAGATGTAAAATTATATTCGCTAACTCTTACTGGAAATAAACCAAATTAGATCAAATGTCAATGCTTCATGAAATTTAAAAAAATATGGCTAATTATTTTAGGTTCAAAAGAAGGAGAATATTCCCTTACAGTGCAGTAATACATGTAAGTTTTTGTGCTGGACTAGGTCGTTTGAGGGAACAATAGACTAAATTCAACAGACTAGTACATGTATGACAGAAAGTTTTGACGATTCTCAATTCATTAAGAAGTTTTATATAGGAAAACGAACATTCGAAAGCCTTGTAATTGTTTTGATCTGGCCAATTACTGAACTGCCAATGGAAAAAAAGTTTTTGCAAGCTACTAGCTAGTGGCTTTAGAATACAATTTTCTTCGAGAGCTATAGTGGTTCAAAAGCAAGTTGCTATTACAATGTACTGTTAGTTAAATTTGGTGTGCGTTCACATGCGGAAATTAAAAATATATTAAGAGTTAAATTGCACACATACAATAAAAAATGCATTGGCCTCTGGTCTGATTAGATTCAGTTTTTACTCCTGTGTATATTTACACAAATGTAAGTAAAATTTTGATCATATTCAATTACGTTCACATGCTCAAATTTACACCCAGCCGCCAATTTTGCAGGTATGAGAAATTTGCACATAGACATCTGGTTTCCGATCCGAAATCTGCTACACGACGTTACAGATTTTCGATCGGTAGCCAGTGGCTAGCAATTAGAGAAAACATGAGAAAAACAGCCCATGTGAACAGATTTTAAAGGTATAATAGAAAAGCATTGTCATACATTTAAACTTTATTAGGTTTAGCTAAACTTTACTGAAAAGAAATTTACACAATAATTTATTCTCAGCGGAAGGTGACATTGTCAAGGATTCGCCATTTGAGATGTTCGTTGATGTTTCTTCAAATAATAGCATTTTTGTGCTTTGTAATTCAGAGGCACTTGGTTCTGTGCATCGAACCTCTACATCTCCAATTCGCTTATCCCCTATATTTTGTTCTGAGTAAATGAAGGGAAAAGGTATAAAAAAAAAAAAGCATGATGACTATATTGGCTAATTTTGAAATATTAAAATAATGTAGAAAAACGTAAAATTATACATGAAGAAAGGAAAATATGTTATGGATTATATATTTTAAAAGATACAAAATATATGTTTTAATTATATTTTGATATTCATCTGAATTTTGAAATTCGAGACAATGACAAAACTGCCCAGTCTGGCCAGGTGAATTATCCTGTGCTAGCGCTGAAACTAAAATACCTAATGATAATAGTCCGGCTTTTGTTGGGCAAGTATAAGCAAAGCCCTTTATCTTTATAGCCGTTAGACAGGAGGTTATAGTAACTTCATTTGATTTTACAAAAAGTCTTCTGGATAATTGAGGGATAACATTAGACATGTACATGGGCTGTTCATATTTCGAAAGTTTACGTAAACAGATGTACCATTATTTACGGATCCATCACACGCTGATATCGTGCTATCTAGATGTTAGAAAAATATGAAATGAAAACGACCTCTTTTTTAACAAATAAAAACAAAAACCATGAAGTACATATAAAATATTAGACTGACTCGAACAAAATCATACTCACTCGTATTCAAAGTTATTGGACACTATCATATGAAAAAAATAATCTTTTTGTTAATGAATTAAATATGAGTATAATATGAGTATGTCATTCATAAAATGAAAAAAAAAATATTTTTTTTCAAATTTAAGATGTTACTCGAAAGAGGCACGTATTATGGAAAATATTTTCTCAAGTTTATCAACGCTGATGAAAAACTCCATCTTAATAGTTTTTAACCCCGAATGTAGACATGGGAAACCTATTCTTGCATTATGGATACAAATAGAAAATTTATTATAATTGTTTAAAGGTATTCATGCGAAAGATTTATGAAGTTCAAAGGCCATTTCAAAGGCCATTTCAAAGGGTACCTTTAAAAACTGTGACTAGATCCAGCTACAAACATGAATTCCTTTTAAGGAAAGATCAGCATCGGAAGTTAATTGATAGCATCATTTGTTCTTCCTAAAAGTACATTTGTATACATTTAGTTGGCTGCAAAATTAGATTGTGTTTTTGTATTTCAATTGGCTTAAATCATATTTGTAAGATTCGATTTTCAAGTATGTACATTTTCTTAAAGGAAAAAAATTGAATTTGAGGAATTTGTAAACCTTCTGTGATGTTCAAAAAACTGCCCTTCTGAAACCATTATTATTAATCTCTACAAAATTTTTCACTTTAAATCCAATTTTTGTGCAAATTTGAAAAAAAATTAAAAACTACGCGGTGAACTCTTTTCATTTAATTCATTTAAATATGACCCATGTTATTATTTTCAAATTTTTTGACAAAGGTCTGTTTGTATCATCTGTCCTTAAATATCAAAAATTAGAAGAATTGTAATTGAAAGGTACTTATTAACATAATTTTAAGTAGACAGAAGCTGTAATATAGATTAGTTTGAACATATAATATTATAATGCATTGTACATGTAATAAGGAACATGAAAGTGAAAACGTTTTTTTGCGATGGGATGAGAGCTATGAACTCACAAGCAAATATCATTGTAAGAAAAAAGAATCCTGAACAACCCTTGCAGCACATTTGCTTATACAGGGTGTTTCACAATACACTGAACCAAATTTCTAAGTGTTCACCTAACATTTTTTAAGTTTTAAAGAAAAAATGCAAACAATTAATAATTTCGTTAATTCATGCTTAATAATGCATATCTCAGTTCAATGTTGCGTAAATTTCATGTAAGTATCTCGTAAGAATTTTAAGCTAAGTGTCAGGGAAATGATGTACCCTCAAAATGAAAACTCACACAAAGATATTTCTTTGGAGTAAGACCACCATTCGCTCTTTTATTGCAAGAAATACTCTACTGTTGGATACAATGTACCCCTGAATATGAGATTGACCCATCTGCTGCCACACCTACTGCCTAGATTTTTCCAAACCGTTGAAATTGAGTAGAAGGGGGGGGGGGCTTAAAATTACTTACCGTATAAGTGGAAATTTTAGCGAGACGCAAATTTAGCGATTTGTCCTTAAAAACTGGCATTTTATTTTTAGCGAGATGTAATTTTAGCGATTTTAAAATGTTCATTAAAGAACCTATTACAAATAAAACGCAATTAATTTTTAGCGATATCAAATTTTAGCGATCTCAGTACCCTCGCTAATAATGCCAAAATTAAATCCTCGCTCAAACTTCTACTTATACGGTATAAAAATCAAGAATGTGTTCAATGGGGTTCAGATCTGGAGATCTGAAGATGCATCATCACACAGAGGTTTTTGGGTCAATATCCTTGGACGTTTATCACGTAAGGACATCGCTTTAAGGATGATTCAGAGTACATGAGCTGATATAAGACTGTCACAAGCACCGATTTCTTTTTCATACGATATCATTTTCATACGATTGAATTCTTTTGTTTTTATGTTTCTAACATTGTTTCAGGACAATTTAACTGTCTTTAAATCTGGTGTGACGCAAAATTTTGACCTCAGACGAAGAACAAAGTCACTTCCGGTTTGGTTAAATTTTGTCAAAAACTT